GGTAGTTAGGATACTTATCTTCCATTGGTTGAGTTCTCCTACAACAACAGCTACCACGCGAGTATCAACCGTCTTCCCTTTGAGATGTTATACGGGAGGAAGTGCAGGACCCCGATATGTTGGGGTGAGGTTGGCTAGAGGGTCATGGGGAGCACCGAAGTGGTGCTCAAGACGACAAAAAGGATTCAGCAGGTCAGGAGCAGACTTCAGACTGCACAGAGTCGGTAGAAAAGCTATGCCGACAAGCGTCATTCAGACCTGGAGTTCCAGGTCGGGGATATGGTTCTCTTGAAGGTGTCGCCTTGGAAAGGCGTCATCTGATTCAGGAAGCGGGGCAAGTTGGGCCCCAAGTATATTGGACCTTTCAAGGTCATAGCCCGGGTGGGCAAGGTGGTGTACCGGCTGGACCTGCCAGGCGAATTTAGTCAGATTCATAGAACCTTCTACGTCTCCCAACTTTGGAAATGCCTGGTGGACGACTCGGAAGTGGTGCCACTAGAGGATATTCAGGTTAGCGACAACCTGAACTACATTGAGTGACCTGTGGTGATCCTCGACCGGAAGTCGAAGGATCTAAGGAACAAGAAGGTCGAGCTGGTGAAGGTGCAATGGCAGCATCGGAAAGGATCGGAATGGACGTGGGAGCCGGTAGACGAGATGATGGAGCATTATTTAGAACTCTTTCAGGATCGAATAGCAGACTTCGAGGACGAAGTCTAAAATAAGTGGGGGAGACTTTTAGCACCTGGTTCCTGATATGTATTTTATTCTAGTACTTTTCATTTTGGCCTTAGACTCGGCGAGTTGAGGTCCAACTCGTCGAGTCGATGCGTATTGGACGCAGAAGTTTAATGACCTAATCGATGAGCATGCGTCCGGATTCGACGAGTAGGCTTTGTTCGGACAAAACACTAGATGAGGGTTTGCACCCTATTTAAACCACTTATTAAGCCCCCCTTTTGTCCCCAATGCTTCCAGAACTCCCCATAGCAAACCCTAGCCGTTTTTTAGAAGAGCTAAGGCATTTTTGGTGGATCTTGCTAGTTGTGACCATAAGGTGGAAGATGAAAGACTTGAGGAAACAAGTGGAGACTATGGGAACCCAAATTTGTGCATCTTCCATAGTCCATTGGAGGTATAAAGCTGTTACCTTGCTCTTTTATTTGATAGATCCCTTTTTGGGGAGATTTAGGGCTTTTATAAGCCATTTTTGGTGACCAACCATGATTGCAAACATGTTTGGGGGTTAAGGCTTCATAATCAGGTCATTAAGGGAGTCACAAGGTAGTTGGGGGATGCTTTTGCACCTATGTAAGTTCCCATGCATCATAAGATGTTATTTTATGTCCTTTTGAGCTCAAAGTCCCATGCATGCACGTAACGTTTGTAACTTTACGTGCTAGAACGATTGAAGGAGCTTAGATCTATCTTTTGGTCGAGAGTTGTACGCTGGAAATCGAGAAATGAGACTTGGGCATGCTCGACTCGACGAGTCATTCTTGGGACTCAGTGAGTTCGAAGCAAAACTCCCCTTTGCTGTTAGGGTTTGAAGGAACCTAGTCGAGCGTTAGAAGGTTTTCTAGAAGGCCCAAGGGAGTGACCCAACACATTGGACTTAGCCTTAAACCTGAAGTTCATGGGACTCGACGAGTGCAAGAACAGACTCGGCGAGTCCAAGGCAATCTCTTTATAGTTGAAGATGAACTCGACGAGTTATTCATACAACTCGGCGAGTCAAGGACATGATTTGTTTATCAGATGAAGGTAAGCTCAACGAGTTGTTAATACAACTCGGCGAGTCGGATGAAGGTTCATTCGATGTTCATATAGAAGGGGAACTCGTTGAGTCGTTGCTAAACTCGACGAGTAGAGTCGTAGATAAGGACGGGTAATGAGTTAGGGACTCGACGAGTTGGCGGCCCAACTCGGTGAGATGGGTCAACTGGAAGTTGAATTTGATTTGGACTTGGTTAGGGGTAAAATAGTCATTTTACCTTAAGAGTAGATATCAGGTTCTAACTGAGTGTTTTGTGGGATTATAGCCGGAGGGTTATCGGAGCAGCAGTCAGACAGTTGTCGAGCAATTTTCTAGCAGTCAGCCTTATGAGGTGAGTTACCTTCCAGTAGCGGTGGGTCTACAACCATAATGTCGGCCCACTAATAGGAGTTGTATGTGAGATGATTGTCTTTGTGATATTCATCTAGGCTTGCTGCTACCTGTTATGTTTTATATGCTAGCATATTACGATATTATGTGACAGTAGTAGGGGGTGAAATAGTCCCCGGTTTCCGGTCGAAAGGACCGAAGGGGAGGCCAGCACCCAGATATGCTAGGCAGTATCCGATCGATAGGACCGAAGGGGAGGCCAGCACCCAGATATGCTAGGCATTATCCGGTGGACAGGACCGAAGGGGTAGGTCGGGCACCCATATATACCTGACAGTATATGCACGTTATGTGATTTTATGGTATGTGGTACGGTGGGGGAACTCATTAAGCTTTGTGCTTACAGTTTTCAGTTTTGTTTCGGGTACCTCTTCAACAAAGGGGAAGGAGTCGGTGCGGTAGCTGCACATCATACACACACCTCAGATTCCACACTATAAGATTCCTTGAGATTGTACTCTGACATTATCACTATTTATGATTTGGATTTCATACATTATGCATAGTTTTATGAGATGTAATGATTCGACAATGTTTTCCTACGAATGTTTTAATTAAAGTAATTTATAAAAATGAAATTTTTGGTCGTGAAAATTTGGTTGTTACATTGAATGTAGTAAATACAAAAAATGAATTTCCTTTTTATCCATGGCAGGTCCATTTCATAACCTAATACCCTAATAGGCCATTATTGCAAAATCGCAAGTCATAACCAATATGATTTTTCCTTAGCTTAATTATTCCTTAGCCCCTTTATGGGCTATTTGTTTACCACTTAATGCCTCTTAAAAGTGGCTATGCCTGAATCTTAAGGATTCAGATTGTTTGTTTAGCTCTTAAAAACGATCTGAAAATTAAAAATGCATCTAATTCGGTAAGATCTAAAAGGGCATCTGAAAAAAAGACATGCTTATCCTCGTGCCCTCCCACACTCGTTCATCTCTTCCTCTCCTCCCACAATTGCCTCTATTTCTGACGCCAATCACAACCCTTTCCGGCTGTCGCTATCCTCTAACACCTCCTCGCATTGTCGATCCCATACTGCATCGTCTCCCCCATTGTCCTCAGATCTCCTTTATTGTTCAGGTACGAAATTGATGCCTCCCCTTTTTGCGTTTAGTTCTTTCCTGTTCCTTGAATCCGATCGACACCCACCCCATCATTCTCTCTCTAAAATTGGAGAGAATTCACGGATCGAGTTATGCAGAATCTTAAGTATGTTTGCTTGAATCGAAGGTAATTTGATTGATTTCTCTGTGTTATAGATACTGCAACCTTTGTGTATCTGTGATTTGCAACTTGTAGCGCAAATTTTGTGAATTTCTTCCTCCTTTCATCTTTGTGTTTATTTGTTGAATCGAGGTTTGGCACTTGTAACTGGAGCACTCGTTCATCTCTGTGTTTATTTGTTGAACAATATTGTTGAAAATGTGCTCTTTGTTCTAATTTTTCTTTTTTGTTGACATATGTGTATGTATAGCTGAAATCTATTGTTGAATCTTGCTGATTTATGCTGAAATATGATTCTTGATCTTGCTGAATTATGTGTTTATTTGCTGAGAATGTGTTTGTAGTTCTTTATTGTGCCGAATTTTGTTATGTGATCGAATCATTTTTGAATTCATTTGCTAAAATGGAATTATGAAATTGAAATATTTATGGCTTTATAGCTGAAATTGAGTTCATTTGTTATGGGTTGTTTGTTCATGTGAGCTTTTTTTTTTTTTTTTTTTTTTTTTTTTTTTTTTTGGAAAAAATTTGGGTTATGATTAATGGTTAAGATGATGGTTTAAGATCATGTTTCCAGTTTGACGGATTTCATCACATATGTTTTTAAGATGTGGTTTCACTGGTTACAAAGATGTGGTTTCACTGGTTACAAAAATGGGAGAAAGGAAGAGAACATATTTTCCTAATATTAGAATTGAAAGGGATAATGAGAATGAATTGCCGTTGGAATAGAATTCCACTTGTAGAGATTTTCTGTTTGTATGTAATTAGATTCATGGCTAGATAAAATTATAATTCCACTTGTAGAGATTTTCTGTTTGTATGTAATTAGATTCATGGCTAGATAAAATTATAGATTTGTACATAAATTAATAATTAATTATTCATACATTTAAGTTTATTTGAATTGATGTTTAATTTTGATTTATTTAATTTGGATTTTTTCCCTACATAATTATTTAAGAAGTTGATTTGGTTATTTTATAAACAAAAATATTAAATTTAGCAAAAATAATACAAAAGGGCAAAACGATCATTTTTATAATTCAATACTTCCAACTAAATAACAATTCAAAATTTAGATCTTAAATATTCAAACCCTCTCTTAAATATTCTGACTCTTAAATATTCAGACAAGGCGGTGATTCCCACCTACCATATCATATGTAAAAAAATCATAATTTGTAGTTTTCTCACTTTCAAAGATATCAAACATTACAAAACAATACATATCTAATATACATAGCACATTCACTGATTTCATAGATTCTTGAAACCAAGTTTTGTCAAAGACCTGTTATCGGATACGAGGCTCCATATGTGCATTTAGAAAGGGGTAATGGTAAGTCGACCATAACAAAATGATACAAAACCATGTAGGCATAAAACATAACTACACGCATTATACATAATCATACAATATAGTATATAATGGTATCGAACTATCTAACGATCTCGATATATAATGTAATCGTACGACATGGTGCAAAATAAAAACAACACAAAAGATATACAGTTTCTAACAAACCAACCATCATTTGAAAGTCAAGAAAATTTAGTCCTATAACTTTAACCACAACTACTTTTGATTTTTGAACATACCTCAGTGACAAACCGACTCCGAGTCCCCAACCTCTTCGGTAGTAACGCTAGTATCCTCATCCCTCGTTACACTCATACTTGTTGCATCCGATTCGCCCAAAAGCATAGCCTTCCTCTTGCTTCTACTTTGTCTCCATCGTCTAAGCGTCTCCGAAGTCGGCCCATCTTTCCCACCCACCATCTCCTCCGCAGGAACATCAGAAAGCGCCGGTCTTTCTTCCCCAGAAACCACCGTCATGGCCATGGCGGGGAACATAATCGATCTAAACCCACAAATCAGAACTACAAGAAGCATAAGGTAAACATATAAAGATGTCCATACGTAAAACGTCCATTTCCATTTTCGAACCAATTCTTTCTTCCATGGTAGCTCCGAGGTCACGATTACTTTTGCTTCGTATAGCTGCGGAAGGAAGGGTGTTCCTGCCCTAGGGATTAAAGAAAGTCTCATGGATCGTGTTCGTGGGTAGTAGTGTTCCTTGTATCTTAGAAGCTGTAGATTTACTGTTTGGACTTCGTGTGTGATCCCTAACAATAATGGAACTCCCATTAAGAATGTTTGCATCAGCCGAAGTGGTCGACTTCGAAACCGTAGCATGCACGGCCGGCTTGCGGTTGTTATGACTTCTCCGGTCATCGTCAACGCCTCTGCAACTACCTAAGGATCGAAAAAACAGAACAAATTAGAATCTGGAATAGAACTCTTTATGGCAACAGAAGTGTTATCGATGGTGGATGCCTGAAAATTTCCGATTTCTCGATTATAATCCGATTCCGGCATCACGAAAGTCAAACGGACGTTACAGAAGTGACCAACGGGTATATTCTTTACTGTTTTACCAGGTGCATCAAACCCGAGATCCAAAATTGCATAAGGATGAACGTCTGTGTAGTCGAAGTACAAGTTCTCTTTGATGTAAACAGGTTCTTCCACCCATAAGTTAACCAGAGCCACCCCCACAACTACCGATACCACCATCACTGTAATTAGAACCCAGCAGACGTAAGCAGCTCCGAGAAAACCTAACAGTGCTTTTTTCAAAAGGATAATGCTTCCTTGCACAGGGCTGGATGGGGCGTCGATGGGTTCTTTGGTGGAGTCGATGCGGCGGAAGGTGGAGGCGAGGGAGAAGATAGAAAGGAAAGGGGATAAGAGAGAGAGAAGACAATCGGATAGGAAGTCTGATTGTAGGGATAAGAGTTTGATGAACCAGAAGTTTGTATGGTGGTGATGGCGATGTTGCTCCGGTGGCTCCATTAAGCTGTTCGAGAACGGTGGCGGTGGTCAATTCAACTTGATAAAGGATGGAGAAGAAAACGTCGGGATGATATATATGGACTGGTGGCATGATTTCTCTGTAACGATGGACACGTGTTTTATTTGCTTCATTTTAATTATTTAAATAATTTTAGATTTTAACGTACAATTTTTCCTTTTCTTCACAAAATTATTAACAAAATTAAATATCCTTTTTATTCATAAACATCCTTCTATCAAATTAACTATTTTTAGTATATTTAAATATCATTAAATATGTCATCATTTAATTAAATAGAAAGATTTGCAGGAACAAAATGTAGAAGAATATTTAATTTCTTTATTTTTTAATGGGGTTGATACTTATAAAAACTTTATTAATTATTCATATATGTTTGATAAACTAGCTCAAAGTTATAAATTACATCAGGTAACAAATCCTACTGTTGTATGCTGTAAAGAAGCTCCTATCAAAGTTCTAGGAATCATATGGAGGGCAACTATGGGTCGCATCCCCACAACAATGGCTTTGGCGCGTCGCGGAATCACCATCTCTTCCTCGGCATGTGGTTCATGTGTCGGATCAGATGAACATGCGGACCACCTGTTAGTTAGTTGTCCATTTACAGCCTCTGTCGGAGAAAAGATACTTAGTTGGTGTGGAGTAACTTCCCTCTCTTTTAATGGTGTTTGTGATTTCTTCCTATTTGCTACCACATGGGGCATGTCCGAAGAAACGAAGGAGATTTATTGTCATATGTTATGGCCTACTACGGGGGATATGGAAATTCAGGAACGACATAATTTTCCAAGGAAAGGTCACAACTCCTAGCAGGGGAGCTGAACTAATAAAATTATTTACGTTCGTATGGATGAAATTTACAAGCCCTGGTGGTTTTTGTAACTAGGATGAGTGGAATACATCTCCCTTCTCTTTTTTGTAATGTCCCTTAATTTTTTCTGTCTGTTTCCTTTTTGCCCCTGCCTTGTCACTTGCTAGGTTGGGGTATCTTTATAATATATGACCATTTTCTAAAAAAAAATGGAAGATATACGAACTTTTATTTATGGAGAGGTGTTCGATAAAAATATTCGTTAGCTTTTAAATATATCAAATCCAAATAAAAACTAAAAGTTAAAAGCCGTGAAAAAAATAAAAACTCTCTAAAGTTTTCTTTAATTTTAAGGTTTTCTTTTTTCTAGTTTAATAACCTCTAGTTATCGAATGAAGCTTTAATTTTAAGGTTTTCTTTTTTCTAGTTTAATAACCTCAAAACACTCAAAAAGCTTCGTTATGTTAAACACACTTCAGTAACAATATAATGGGCCAAAATAGTACATAATAACTTTTTAGCTAACCATAAACTTTGTAATAAAAAAGGTTTGTTAAAAATATAACCCATAAACCATCACATGTAACATGCACAAAAACCATCCCTACAAAACTTCTGACGTTTCTAACAAATATTTTGTTCTTATATTATATACAAATAAAAGAGATTTTTGTATAAATCAAAATCCAAACCTCCCCTGAATACTTCCCGGGCAGCCAATATATTCCCAATTTTCACGCTAACTGACACTCGATTCTCTCTCTCTGATGCTTATTAAGATCTGATCAATCAGAAGATCAATTTTAATCCAAGTCGCCGACTTTAATTTTAGCTTAAATCACAAGTTTTTATCGATAATCTGTTTAGATTTGCAACACAGTTGCAGTCAATTCTGTATTATCAAATCATGCTCATGCCCATGCTCTGTTGTTTCGATTAGGGTTTTTCAGTTTCAAGGAAAATGTCGGAGAAGGAAGACAACGGAGGTGATTGCGGTGAAGATGACGATGAGTGGAGAGATCTGATCGCGACTCCTAACCGTTTAATTTCCGACGACTTTTTTGTTTTGAAGTCTGAACAATTAGATGATCGTGAGGAAGATATCGGAAAAGGTAACGATGGAATTAGTTCCGAGGATAGAGATAGAGTTCGGGGTAGAAGAGTTAGTATTGCAGAACGAAGGGCTGCAATGCGTGGTAATTCTGATACCAATGCTTCAAGTATCAGAGTTTCAGTCTCTTCTTCACGAGTTACTGCTTGGCCTCCGATTCTTACAATACCTTGTGGTATTAGTCCCACTTCATTGCTCGATTCTCCAGTTTTGCTCCCTAATTCTCAGGTAATGTAAAGCAATTTTCCAATTTAAACTGATTAAATCATGATTTTGATGTTTACTATTGTGTGTTTTTTCATTTCATAGGTGTCGCCTACTACTGGATCCTTTCAATATCCTCCTCTGAGTCAAGAAGAAATTTTAGGCATGAAATCAGAACTTGACGACATGAACTGTGACACTAGCTCTTTTATATACCAGACTGATGGTGGTTCACTATCATGGCCAAGCTTTTCACAAGTACAAAATCAGGTGAACATTATGTATGTAACCCTCTTTTCATGTTTATCGTAATTCTTTTGACCCGATTTCTAAATGATTTGGAGCTAACATTACCATGCACAGCCGCCATTGATGTGTGAACATCCAGGGGCATTAATGGAAGAAACAGTCACAAAAAGGTCTTCCGATGGGTTTAAAGTTCCAAAAAGTACAATTGGTGGCGTAAAACAAGATGATGATTCAAAACGACATATGGATGGATACGCAAAAGAAACGAGCTTTTCTAGCATGAGGAACTCAGAAGATGGATATAATTGGAGAAAATATGGACAGAAGCAAGTAAAAGGCAGTGAATACCCTCGAAGCTACTACAAATGCACACATCCAAATTGTCAAGTCAAGAAAAAAGTGGAACGTTCCCATGATGGGCATATTACTGAAATCATATACAAAGGCGCTCATAATCATCAAATCCAAGGTCATCGCAGCAACATTAATGGATCTCCAGACGCTAATGGATCCTACGTCAAGATCGAAGAAAGGGATAACATTTCGATTCGTCCAGAATGGAACACAGATCGTATGGATCGCTCATCTTCAACCTCAGTTGGCATCGATAATCCTGACCTAATTTCACCACCGAAAGGAAAATCCGTTGGAATTATCGAATCAAACCCTAATTACGATTACAAGGAAGAAGATGGGATGAACATAGGTACACATTCACCAGGAGAAGGAGACGACGCCGATGACGATAAATCCGAATTGAAAAGGAGGTGCGTTGATGCACTCTCTCAGTAGGTAGTAATCCTTTTGTTCATACATGAAAATTTTCGCAAATCGATCTCCTGATGAACGTCATTTCAGGAAGAAAGGGAATTACTTGCTGGAAACAAGTTTGGTAACCAGAGCTATGCGTGAACCAAGAGTAGTCGTTCAAATCGAGAGTGAAGTTGATATTCTTGACGATGGTTATCGCTGGAGAAAGTATGGTCAAAAAGTCGTCAAAGGAAACCCAAACCCTAGGTAATTAATTAACGGCATCATCTTTTGAAAAAAAAAAAACCATGTAATTTTAACTAATACAAATATTTTAAAAAAGATGTTTAAATGGTAAAATAAAATGTTTTTTTAACCAACTCCATAATTGACTTTAAAATTTCAAAATTACATTTATTCAGTTAAGCAACATAGTTACCGTTTCTTGTAGGAGTTACTACAAATGTACGAGTAACGGATGCCCGGTGAGAAAACACGTGGAAAGAGCTTCTGACGATTTAAAATCAGTACTGACCACGTACGAGGGAAAACACAACCATGAAGTGCCAGTAGCTAGAAATAGTAGCCATGCTACTATGGACGTGGGGACCACCTCAAATGCTCCGCCTATACCATTATCTAGAATTCCTACCATCCCCAACTCCGAACCACAAGTGCAAGATCTTCCTCTTCGTTTTGATCGAAAAATTTCCAACGGATATATTCCGTCAAATTTCGTTGCTAATTTTGACACTAAACCTACGAAATTTGAATCTTCATCTATGTATCAGGAATATATTCCTTACCAAAATCCAATAACTTTCAATTCAGTTTTACCCGATTTTCCTATTTCGTTACCGATGAGTATGCCAATGGCTCATAATTTTGGTTATAATAATAATGGAAAACGTGGACGAGAGTCTTTTATAGGAGGACAAATGCAACATTTGAGGGACAATAATGGTAGATTCCTTAGACCCAAACTGGAGCAGGATGATGGTTTTTATGACACTTTTATGTGTGCACCGGATCATGTAAACGATGCTCCTTCGAGATATTGTCGCGTGATTCCTAATTTTCCTTCATAAGTTAGAAACAAAATTTTGAAAAAGAATTCTTTTATAGTTAGAGTAGGACATAGTTTCCTGCTTAATAGGTTTGTTATTTGTTGAAGTGAAGGAATTATTAACCCCTTCGTATCCATAAAATCTCTTTTTGTGCAATTTGCACAAGATTTAGTTGTTTATTTCCATTGAATTTAATCAAAATAGCAATTCTTTGAAAATGATGGTTTTTACTTTGTAGTTGAATCGTGCATTGCATTTTATTAAGGATAATAGGCGTTAATGTTGTGGATTCTGTCATGAACTAATTTAGTTGGTTTGTTGAATACACCGTTGTGTGTTGGAGGACTAGTCGTTAGGGTTTATGATTTCAAATTTCAATAGTAGTTTTGGCTTCATTTTAATTTTGTCAAAGTTCCTTTATAACTATTCAAAATAATAGATAGATGTGTCAATAATTTTATGTTATTTTGTATGATTAAATAATAATTGGATGATCGATTTGATTTTAATTGAATATTCACATTTTGGAGCTGATTAACTCCAATGATAATAGGATACACAATATTGGTCGGTCGGTTTTAGTCGGATTGACGAGTTTTAATAACAAACACAAATACCATGTTTTTGTTCGTTCTAATTACGTTTTTAGGTTGTTGATGTTCCTAGGTAGATGATCGGTGAGTTTTGTATCACTTTAATTAGCTATTATTTTACCAAAAAAAAAAAAATCCTATTCAACTTGGGAATCAGTGTCGGTGATAGGGGCGGGGGAAGAAGAAGGACCTC